AGGCGGACAGGGCAGTGAGAGGAGCAGGATGGGGCGGCGGCAGCAGGGAAGGTGGGGGCAGCAGGACAGGGGAGGAGAAGCCGCAGGAGAGGTCAGAGGGCAGAGAAACAGGGCGCGGAGGCAGCGGACGTGTGCGGGGACGGGGGGGCCAGAGAAGTGGAGGAGACGGGAGGAGGATAGACGCTGCGACCGTCCGATCACAGCCCGGGCAACACGGCAGGAGGAGGCGGACGACGATCGGGAGGAACAGTTCGGAGGAGGCGCAGGACGCGGGCGGCATCGGCGGGAGTCCTCCGAGGCCCGCGGACGAGATCGCCACAACCTTTGGACGCCCGAAATGGGTACGGACAACATGGGCACAATGCCCGACAGTCAATGCCCGACGACGACGACGACGACGACGACGACGAGGACGAGGACGAGGACGAGGACGACGACGGCGGCGACGACGACGACGACGACGAGGACGAGGACGAGGACGACGACGATGCACGACGACGAGGACGACGACGACGGTCAAAGTCAACCAACGGTCGCGGTTGGGCATGCGTCCTCTGGTCTCAAGTGGGCCACGCTCGCGACGACACCAGCAGCGAATCCGCCTCCAAACAGGCAGGGAACGGTGCTTGTCTTCGTCACAGTGAGGGGGCCCAAGCGGTCTTACCTTTAGGTCGGGCGTATCCTCCTACAGGCGGATCTTGGACGAAGCATTGAACATAGTCAAAACATGCTCAAACCTAGTCAAAAATACTCGGAAAATTGTCCCGGGCTTTTGGACAACTTTTGGACGATCCTCCTGTAGATGGACATGTCCGACTTAATCTTACCTCTTCCCTGCAGGCGCGCGGCTGGATGGAGACCTCCGGACCCCCCCCCCCTCCGTCACGAGAGGGGGTGGGTTTGAACCCCCCCCCCCCTCAGGCACGAGGGGGGGGGGAGGGTTCGAACCCCCCCCCCCCTCCATCCAGGGGGGGGAGGGTCCGGTTCCAACCCCCCCGCCCCCTCCAAGCGACCACAGAACGCGCTCTTTCAGACCTCCGCCCCCCCTGGTGCCGATCCTTGGGGGCCAGGGGCAACCTATGGGGGCGATGCTCGGGGGGCGATGCGCGGGGGGGCGACGCTCGGGGGGCAACACCCCAGGGCGACACCGGGGGGGCAGCACCTCGGGGGCAACACCTCGGGGGCAGCACCGCGGGGAGGAGAGCTAATTTGAAGGGGCCCTGGGACACACAAATAAATAGACACAAATAAACAGATTCCCCCTATTTTCATATATTTTCTGGGTTTTTGTCTTCCCCCCCCACTTCCCACATTTTCTTATATCTTCTGGGAAATCGACGATTGATTGTGGCTGTGTGTTTCTTTCCCTCCTGATCATTACTTGGGGGCAGCACGGCGATACCTGTGGGGGGGGGGGCGGGGGCGAGAGTTCGGGGCCAACGCGTGGGGGCAGTGCTTGGGGGTCGGTCCCGCCGCCGCCTCCCGCCGCGAGCGCGGGGGGTGCTGCGTGCCCGTGCTTCTTTCGCGCGCGCTGCCAGGCATGCGGTGCCTGGCTCTTGTGCCCAAAGTACGGGGGCCCCGGATCCTCCTCCTCCTCCTCCTCCTCCTCCTCCTCCTCCTCCTCCTCCTCCTCCTCCTCCTCCTCCTCCCCCCACTCCTGGCCCTTTCGATCAGGGTCGGCGGCACCGGCCGTCAGGCCTCTCCAGTACAGGGGCCCCGGAAGCCGCATCACCATCGCGCGTCGATTTTCTGACGGTCCTGGAGCTCGGCGAGGGTCCCTGGAGGCCAAACGTTGTCCAGAGCCTCCCGTCCCAGGCATCCGGCTGCTCCCCTTTCTTGGATGCGCGGGCCCCGCAGGTCCGGACCACTTCCCCATGGGACTGGTCCTCCGTCCTGAATCGTTCTGTGACGGTCTCGAGGCCCGGCGAGGGCCCCCGGAGGCGGAGCTCAGCCCCAAACCGCCCGCTCCTCCTCTATTTTTCAGGGTCGGCCAAGAGGGGGGGGCGTCCAAGAGAGGGAGGGATGCAAATCAGGGCTGGCGGCACGTGCGCGGCCCAGGGGGGTGGCCAGGAACGCAGTGAACTACGAAGAGGCGCCATGAAATCTGAGCAAAGATCTTGAGCAGGGACCGGCCGTCCTGGCATTCCTATAGGCCTACAACGAAGCTTTCTTAGAAACCAGAAATGTTCTAATAACAAACCAATGTTCTTAGACCATGAGACCGATGTGTTAAAATAAGACAGCTCCAGCCGGAAATGCTCTAAGAACATCTCGTGGAAGCCACAACAAAGTTCTCAGAACATTGCTTTGCGGGCCTATAGGCACGCCAGGACGCTTCGCCACTGCTTGATAGTCATCGTCCCCCTCTTTGCTGGCCCCGACTCTTTTGAGCGTCGGCACTCCAGGCCTGAGACGCCAAGTAGGAGGAGGAGGAGGAGGAGGAGGAGGAGGAGGAGGAGGAGGAGGAGGAGGAGGAGGAGGATGAGGAGGAGGAGGAGAGGTGGAGGAGGAGGAGGAGGAGGAGGAGGAGGAGGAGGAGGAGGAGGAGGAGGAGGAGGAGGAGGAGGAGGGAGTGAGGAGTGAGGGGGAGGAGGAGGAGGAGGAGGAGGGAGGAGGAGGAGGGATGAGGAGGAGGGTGAGGAGTGAGGAGAGAGGAGGAGGAGGATGAGGAGGAGGAGGGAAGAGAAGGAGGAGGGAGGAGGAGGAGGAGAGAGGAAGGAGGAGGGGGAGGAGGAGAGAGGGAGTGAGGAGTGAGGAGTGAGGAGTGAGGAGGAGGAGGAGGAGGAGGAGGAGGAGGAGGAGGAGGAGGAGGAGGAGGAGGAGGAGGAAGAGAGGAGGCTGAGGAGGAGGAAGTGAGAGTGAGAGTGAGGAGTGAGGAGGAGGAGGAGGAGGGGAGGAGGGGGAGGCGGAGGAGGAGGAGGAGGAGGAGGAGGAGGAGGGGAGGGAGGAGGAGGAGAGAGGAGTGAGGAGGAGGAGGAGGAGGAGGAGAGGGAGGAGGAGGAGGAGAGGAAGGAGGGGGAGGAGGAGAAGAGGGAGTGAGGAGTGAGGAGTGAGGAGGAGGAGGAGGGAGGAGGAGGAGAAGGAGAGAGGAGGAGGAAGGGAGGAGGAGGAGGGGAGGAGGAGGAGGGAGGAGGAGGAGAAGGAGGAGGAGGAGGGGGAGGAGGGAGGAGGAGTGAAGTGAGGAGTGAGGAGTGAGGAGTGAGGAGAAGGAAGGGGAGGAGGGGGAGGAGGAGGAGGAGGAGGAGGAGGAGGAGGAGGAGGAGGAGGAGGGCCGTGAGACGCGAGCACGTCTGGGCTTTCCTCCGCGCCGAGCCACCGCCCCGGCTGCGCCGCCGCCCGGGCCGCACGCGAGCAGCTCCGGCTCCAGCAGCCTGGTCGTCGTCGTCGTCCTCCTCCTCGTCGTCGTCCTCGTCCTCGTCCTCGTCCTCGTCCTCGTCCTCGTCCTCCTCGTCGTCGTCCTCGTCGTCGTCCTCGTCCTCGTCCTCGTCGTCGTCCTCGTCGTCGTCCTCGTCCTCGTCGTCGTCGTCCTCGTCGTCGTCCTCGTCCTCGTCGTCGTCCTCCTCGTCGTCGTCGTCCTCGTCGTCGTCCTCCTCGTCGTCCTGCTCTGGCTCCAGCAGCCTGGACCACTGCACCGGGACGGGCACCACGGGGCGCTGCACCTCTCGTGGGTGGGGGGGGAGGAGGAGGAGGAGGAGGAGGAGGAGGAGGAGGAGGAGGAGGAGGAGGAGGAGGAGGAGCAGCAGCAGCAGCAGCGGCGCAGGGGATGCGCGGCGCGTCGACGCGGCGGTGCTGGGACTGCGCGGGGGGGATGGCATGGAGCGGGAGCTGGCCCACACCCCCTCGCGCCAGGAGAAACATCGCGACGGGAGGTTTTTCGCTACTGTCGGCCTCCGGGGGACCTTCCCGGGCCTCGGGGCCGTCAAAACACTACCCGGGAAGGAAAACCGGCCCCGGGGAAGGGGCCCAAACCTCTGGGGGTCGGCAGTGTGAGCAAATCACGACGTCGGGGGTCTGGGAATGACACAGTCGTGCCAAGAAGCACCGCCAGGACCTCGAGGCCCGGGGCCTCAGACCTCGGCGAACGCGGCCCGGTATTTCAGGGCGCGTCTTTGGAAATGTGCGAGGGATCGCGGGAGGGGCAGCATGGAAATGCTGGAGGAGGGAGCGGGATCGACGGGAGGGCCGAGACGAGAGGGAGGGGGAGGGATGTGGGAAATTGTCACCTGTGAGGAGGCAGGGACAGGTAGAGGTAGGAGTTGGAGGAGAAGGAGGTAGGAGGAGGGAGGGAGGGAAGGGAAGGGGGAGGGCGGAGCAGGAGAAGGGGGGATGATGAGGGGCTGAAACAGCAGGAAGAGCGCCGGGACGAGGAGGCACTGGAGCAGCAGGAGGAGCGAAGAGCAGGGAGGAGGAGGAGGAGGGAGGAGGAGGAGGAGAAGGAGGAGAAGGAGGAGGAGGAGGAGAGGAGGAGGGGGGAGGAGGAGGAGGAGGAGGAGGAGGAGGAGGAGGAGGAGGATGGGATGATGATGATGATGATGATGATGATGATGATGATGATGACCGATGATGATGATGATGATGATGATGATGATGATGATGATGATGATGATGATGATGATGATGGTGATGATGATGATGAGGAGGAAGGAGGAGGAGGAGGAGGAGCAGGAGGAGGAGGAGAGAAGGATGAGGAGGAGGAGGATAAGGAGAAGGAGAACAAGAAGGAGGAGGAGGAGGAGGAGGAGGAGGAGGAGGAGGAGGAGGGGAGGAGAGGGAGGAGGAGGGAGGAGGGAGTAGGAGTAACATGTTGGGAAGTTTAGGACTGGAGGGAGAAGGAGGGAGGCGGAGGGAGGAAATGGCGGGGAGGAGACTGGAGGGGGGAGACTGGAGGGAGGAGGAGGAGGAGGAGGAGGAGGAGGAGGAGGAGGAGGAGGATGATGATGATGATGATGATGAGGATGAGGATGAGGAGGAGGAGGAGGAGGAGGAAGAGGAGGAAGAGCACCACAGCTAGCCGAGGAGGCCAGCCAATTCGGCATGCAAAAACAATCAAACGAGTTAATCCTCGCCGAACTCTCCAAGTTCGGGGGCACTCGCCTCGCGTTTCCTCCTATCAAGGACCCGCTCCCCGAGGCTCTCTGCCTCGGCGCGGGAGGGGAATCCAAAAAGGGCGAGCCCCCTAACGAGGTCGACCCCGCACCCGTGAACAGTGCTGGGAGGGGTCCCAAGGGGAGGTGCGCCATCAAGACCGAGCTTCGCGGCCAAGAACTCCCGAGAAGCATCAGAGAGGGCAGCGGCCGCCCCCGCACGCCCGTTCTTTCGGGATGGGTGTTTGCCACGCAAAATCCAAGCCAATTGCCTCTCGCGACCTTCAGTGCGGGCATCAAGGCAATTCGACACCAGAGCACTCCTGCCCCAGGACGGCCCTGGGTGGCCGACCGAGCCGCAACTCGTGCAGAAAACTATGGATCCCTGAGGGGACCCATCCGGTCCGGTCACCGGGGCCTCCAGGCAAACGTGGCCGCGGGCACGCCAGGGCCTGAGCAGGCCCCACGCCTCTTCGCTAGGCGGCGGAGGGGCGCCTAGCAAGGCGGGTCCCAGCACCGCGCCTGCCGGCGCCCCCTCGCGATCGTCATCCTCCCCCGCCCCACGCTTAACAATGGACGACCGCGACGATCCACCACCCTCATCTTTAGCACGGAGCTCGGCAAGCTCGTCCAGGGCCCCGACGGGGAGGAAGGGCCCGAGCTCAACATGCTTTAGAAAGTCGAGGGGAACATTGTCAAAAACTTGGCTATCAGCTATCCGGGCCTCCTGCCGGGCTCCGAATCGAGCAGCCTGCCTGGCAACCTCGTGACAGCCAAGAATTACAAGACGGTCGGCGGCAGCACACCTGTTCAGTTCAGCCCCCTGGCGGGCGAACTCGTCCGCCGCGCGGTTGCCGAGCCACTGGCAACGGGTAAGCTTGCCATTAAAGACATCTTCCTTGCAATGGGCAAGGACTTTGACAACGGAGACCCCGTCGAGCTTATCAAAAACTTGGGCCCACCAATGGGCCCGTGGATTGTCGGGTCCGGCTGCGGACCTAGGGTCTCGGGCGCAATCAACGGTGCCGGCGCAATCTATATGGAGCTGGCAGCCCAGGAAGACAACCGCGTTCAACACCAGCTGGAGGACCGCGTAGTCCTCGCCATCCCGGGCCGCCTGGAGCGGCGCCTCGGACGAGGGGACCGTGCCCCAGATGCATGATCGAACCCCCCCCCACCCATCCGTAACAACCACAGCCCATCCCGCCGCCCTTAAAGACGGGATGTGGCCCTCGAAGGCCGAACCGTCGGTGAACACCTGCATCCCGGCCTCCAGCACCAGTCCGTCTGCAGGCCAATTGCAACGATGCATAAAACAGGAGGTGGGATCCGAGAGAGGTCGCGAAAACCACGCCGCCGGGTCAGGGAAGAGGGCCCTGGAGAAGAGCTCCTGGGCCTGGAAAGACAAGCGACCTACACACTGGGCAGCGGCGGCCAGCTCTGGCGATAGCTCTTCGCGTCGCCACGCGGCGTGCGCAGGGCAGCAAAATCGGCGATGGAAGATCGATCCTCGGAGCTCGCCGCACAGAAGACAATTCGGGCGGATATCTTTGCACTTCTCTGAGAAACGCTGCTGGCACCAATAGCGATTGGCCAGCATGCCGCGGAGCACATGCTGGTGGTGGGAGGTCCAACCTTCCGTCTTTTCACAAGCGAGAAGTACCTGGGCAGGTCTAGCACAGATGGGGCCCACCCATTCCCCGCAGAAACTGGTCTGCCGACGCTGCTCCTCCAGAACGATGGCGTCCCAACAAGCTCGCTTGCCGAGCTCGGCAAAAAAGGCTGGTGAGAAACGGCCGAGGTCCCATTTTTTGCCCCAGCGATCGATCAGCGCCGAAGCCGAGAGATCCAAGTCCCAGCTCACCCGGCGCAGCGTGAGAAGCAGAGCGGCAATTGGCTGCTTGACGGCGCTCCACGGCTGGGTCTTACCAAGAGTCTCTCGGGCATCAGCAAGGGCTGAATCGAAAACCGGACGGGGGACCGATCGGTGCCACCACACAGAAACAAACGTTTTGACCGCAGCCACCGCGACGTGCACAAAAGGATCACGAGTCAAGTCCGCGCTGAGCAGCAACGAAAAACCCAAGGACGAACCTGGCTGCAGCGAGCCCGTGCTGCGGGCTGCCGCAACTCTCAAGGTCCTCAAGGCTGAACTACTGACTCCGAGGATGGGCGCGCCCCAACACGCTTTGGCCGCTGGGCCAGCCCGGAACACCCGGGCGGCTTCTTTGCCGCGGCCAATATTCTGGAGCCTGCGTGCGGCCGAGAGGGCAGCCGAAGCCCTGGATAACTGGATGGGGATCCTGCGCCGACTCCCGTCCAGGGCGTCGCCTCCTAAATCGCGGTGGCAATCTGAAAGCAGGCTTACATCTAGCGGCCACTTTGGATCCTCGAGGAGCTTGTCCAGGAGGGCGTTGTCCGAAACCATGAAGCAAGTTTTACCGAGGTTGAGGGGGAGATCAAGCTGCTGCAAAATACTCAGGACCAGGTTGACGGCCCGCACAAGCTGGGCCGCCACTGTGAGGATACCCCCTACCGCGTGCAACTTAATGTCATCTACCAAATTCATGGGTCGACAAACAGGAGTTTCAACCGCAACCGTACGTAACACACAAAGCGTCATTAGTTTGACGACCCCCGTAGCGCAACTGCACCCCGCCACCACTGTTCCGTTGGGGTGCACGGCCCGCGAGGTGGCCGAAAGCCATCTCACTCGGCGGGGCCCGCGGCACAGGGAGCATAGGGAGCGAAGCAATCCAAGATCAAATGAATAGTGCACCGCCGCTTCACGCATGGCCATTTGCGAGATATGTTCGTAGAAACGATACAAATCGAAAAACACGGAACCGCCCACCACGCCATGCCGCCGGGCGTGCACCACCAAAAGATTATGAACGTAGGCGGCACGATCCGCCGCCGTGTCGCCAGATTTGCCCCAGAAAAACGAAGCGTCAACCTTGAACTCCCAGCGCCGCACATCTTTCTGCCGCACCCGCGACCACACGCGCCCCCACATGCAGAGGAGCCCAATGGGCCGACGGCCAAGCTGCGGCGGCGGCTTGGGCAAAAACACAAAAACAGTAAGCCACAATTGCGGCGCAGCTGGCGACGCCTCAAAGGCATTCGGGATGGCCACGAAGCGCTCCAGCAACGCGTCCGGCAGGAACGACAACGCCCGCGGATTGAAGTTGTCCCATCCGAGCCCCGTCTGCACCGGGAAGCGCCGAGCTACATCACGCACCTGGGAAGCGGTGATCGGGGCAAGGTCCGAGGGCCCGTCCCAGGAGGCCGCCGGCTGCTCGCAAGCTCGGGACGGCTTGTCCCAGACGGCCAACCACTCGTCGAGGATGGCCTCCGCCGCCGCCGATCCCACCTGCGGCAGCTGGCGCTCATCGTCACGAGCCACGACTGGCGGAGCCTCGCCCCGCTTCTCCTTGATGAGGCGATGGGCCACGCGCCCAGAGCCGTCCAGCGTCGTGGAGCAGAATTCGCGCCATGACTTGGCCCGCACCGCGGAGTCGCTCCGCCTCCGAGCCTCGACCTCCGCCTCCAACAATGACTCGAACCAGTTACACAACGGGCTCGCCCTTATCGCGAGGCCGATCCACTGCGACACGGAGCCGTTGCGCAGGGCGGGCTCGTCGGCAACCGCAGTCTCGATGCTGAGCGCCGATGCCTGCTCCACGAGCCGGTCCCTCAGCGCAGGCCGGCGCGCGCGAGAGCAAGGGGCCGCCTGGCCCCAGCGGCGGAGGCCCTTCCAGCAGCGCAGGAGGCCCCACCAAGCCTCTGTGGCCGACGTGCCGAGCTTGCGCTGCCTCGCCTCTAAGATGGTCGCCAGCGGTCGCTGGATCACCGTGATGCCCTTGCCTCGCCCGAGGAAGTGGCGGGCGCTGGCCGAGTCGACCGCCAACTTCTTGACGAGGTGGAGCTCCGCCAAGTCGAACCACCTCCTGCATGCCACCTCCAGGTCGTCCAACGGCTCCTGGCCCTCCGCGATCTCAGCGGCGGTGGGGGCGAGCGGCGCGGCCAGCTCCATGGCCCTGTCCAGCTCGCTCGGGATGTCAAAAGCACGCCGTGAGTCCTCGACCCAGATCGTCGGCTCCGTCCAGAAGTTGCTCAGCCTGGCGGAGACGAACGAGTGCGATCCACAGGGCGTGTCGGCGAAGACGCGAGGCCCGCCAGCTCGATGGGCTAGCGCGGCAGTCACCACGAAGTAATCGTATTCCGCCGAGCCGCAAGTGGGCTCGTCCGCGCTGAGGACCACCCCGCCAATCTGGTCGACCCACCTGGGCTCCAGGAGCGACTCGGGTCCAACGTTCCAGTCAGCCCCTATCACAAAGGGCTCGGCCAGCTGCCCGACGAAGGCGCCAACGTACTCCAGCAGGGCCAGGTAGTCGCCCGCCAGGCCAATGCCAGTGACCAGGTAAAGGGATACCAGCACCAGCGTGGCCCCATTGCCCAAATGGGCACCACGGATAATCACCCGATGATCCCACTCAGCGCAAATCTCAGCCACCTGGCCGAGGCCGATGCGGCCCGAGACCACCAGGGCAACTCCGCTCGACACTTCGAGCCGCCCTTCGCCAGTGCGCCTGACGGCCCCACAAGCCAGCTGAAGGCCCTGGCCTGCACACCACTGGTGCGCGCTGCCGACCATCTCATGGTCGAAAAAGCGCGTTTCTTGCACGAAGAGGATGTCCGGCCTCTCACCTCGCACCAGCAGCCACTCCAGCGTGCCGCGAGCGCCCGCCCACGTGTCGCCATTGATGCTGCCGAACGTGAGTGGGGTGGCGCCGAACGCCTCCCGCACGGGCAGCAACTGGTCCAAGGATAGCACCGTCACGTCGACGAGAGGCTGCGCACTGCTGGGCCGTGGCCGCGGAGCCGCCGAGAGGAGCGCCTCCGAGGGCGGCGCCGCGGCCGCCGGGGCGCCCGGCGCGGCTGCGGCAGCGCCGGCGGCGGCTCCAGCTGAGCCCCCGGCGGGCGCGGGCCCGAGCGCCCCCGTTTTTCGAGCCGCGTCCAGCCGTGGCTGCGAGGGGGGCCCCGGAAGGCCAAAAAGTCTCGAGATTCCATGCTCGAGGTTCGAACCTCGACGTGAACCCTCCAGCTCAAGCGCCTGTCCGGCAACATTTTGTCTTACACACTGTTCCTCACTGGCTACTTGTGGCGACCTCGACGCCCCAGTAGCCCTCGAGGTGGGAGCCGCTGCCGATGAAGCACATGCCCCTGAACTCGACGACGTGCTCGGACCCTCAGCGTTGGGGGGGGCAACCCGGCGAACCGAGCCGGAAGTGAGGCTCGGGTCGGGCGTGCGAAGGGCAGCCACGCTGAAACCCAAGCTGGGCCACTCGCAGTCCACGAGGTTGCACTCCCAAAACTGGTCCACCACGGACGTCTCCCACGGCGCCGACAACGCCCCCTGGGCGGGCCCTGGCTGAGGCTCTCCAGCGACAGGCAAACGATGGTGGCGACCTAAACGGTCGCTGCCTGCACCTGGGGAGGAAAAGGTAGAGGCGAAGGCGTCCCAGTCCAGCAGGGCGGCCGAGGCAGCGCCAGCGGCGGCTTCGGCGGCGGCCCGGCAAGCTCGCCAGGGGCGCGAGACAGGGCCACCGCCGACACGCCGGCGTCCACCCAGCGGCGCGCAGCACGCCGGCGTCCCCCCACGAAGTCGGACAGCTCCTCGTCCTGCTCCTCCTCCAAGTCCTGATTCTTCTGGTCCTCCTCCAGCTCCTCATGGAAGCCCGGACCGCCGTACGAGCTCGACCTGCACGCCGGCCATGCCCGTGGCGAGAGCGATGACTCCAACGAGCCGCAGATGGGCACAAAACTGCCCAGGGAGCCCTCGATCAGGGCCCTGTCATTCTGGTACGTACAACAATGTCAAACTACATCGGCGAGAAGGCGGAGCCAACTGCTCCCGTGCGAACGCACCCGCCAAACGCAGCCCGAAGTTGGCCGTGTAGCGCTCGAGCTGCCTCCTCGCTCTCTGGCGGGGTGACGCCGCCGATGGAGATTTCCGAGCGGATCTGCTCGATGGGGATTTGCACCGTAGCCGCAACACCGTCCTCCGCCGGAGTCGGCGCCTCCACCGCCACTGGCACTGCCTGCGACCCTGGCGGCACGACTCGCACGATAGCCTGAGTGGAGCAACTCGGGACTTGCTCGCAAAACGTCCGGGCGAACTGCGAGAGGTCGGGGACCTGCACGCCAAGCTGGTCGAGGCCCTGCTCGAGAAAGCGTTTAACCTTGTCGGAGTCCAGCTGCAGCATGGGGGCACCCACCGCGCGCGCCTCAGGTTCAACTCCTTGGGCGGCGCCCTGCGCAGCCAAGGCCATTTGCTGCGCCTTGAGCTGGCCGAGGGTGGATTCGTGCTCCTTGACCTGCAGCTCCGACTCGCGAAGCGCAGCCTCGGCATCGCCGAGTCTCTTCCGACACTGCTCCTGATGCTTTCTGGATTTGAGAAGCTTCTGCTCGACCTCATCAACTTTTGTGAGCAGAATGCGGAACCGCTGGCCCATCGGCTGGCTGTCCAACATCCGCTGCTCGATATCCTGCTTCTCCTGCCTGAGCTCGGCCTGGAGCTTGGTCCACACGGCGCCCTCGAGCGACGAGATGGCGGCGAGCTCCCGGTCGATCGTGCCAAGGCGGTCCTTGTCGGGCACCGCCTCGCAGCCAAGGTCGACGTCCCACAGGCCTCCCGTGTCAGGCGGCTTCTTGGCCTGATTGAGCTCCGCCTGGAGCTTCTTGACCTGCGCCGTGAGCTTTTGGACCTCAGTGGACGTCTTGACCCAGGGGGGCGCGGCTCCACTCCCAGTGCCCTTAGGGCCTGTCGAGACGGAGGGCTCTTTGACCGCGAGGTAGCCTCCGAAACAACTGCCCTTCGACAACTTGTACTGGAAACGCTGTTTGTTTTCCGCGAAGTTGAGGAACGGCTTTCCCGTCCGCTCGTGCTTGCACAGCCTGCAAAACCACTTGCGCTGATGCACGGGCGGGGAAGCCATCGCGTACAACCGAGCAGCGCAAAGCTCGACTCGGCAGAAAGACCTCTTGGCCCGAGCAGCGCGGAGCTCGACTCGGGTTGCAAGAACAACTGAAGATCGAGCCGCGGACTAGCGGTATCCCTTTCTGCCACGGGGCTCAAGGCCCCCAGAGCAGACATCTTGAGCCAAAATGGCTACGGAGAGGAGGAGGAGGAGGAGGAGGAGGAGGAGGAGGAGGAGGAGGGGAGGAGGAGGAGGAGGAGGAGGATGAGGGAGGAGGAGGAGGAGGAGGAGGAGGAGGAGGAGGGGAAAAGGGAGGAGAACGCCTTGATCACCGCCTCCTCGCCGCGGAGGCGGCGGTGGCCGCCGCCGCGTACCTCGGCCACCGCCTCGTCCCAAGCCTCCTGGCTGTGGAACTGGAACGGCTCACCACTCCCGTCCTCGACGTACTTCGCCCAACTTAGCAGCACCCCCTCGTTCGTCCTCCTGCCCCCTCTCCTCCTTCGCCTCCTCCTCCTCCTCCTCCTCCTCCTCCGTTTCCTCTCCTCCTCCTCTCTCGTCCCCCTCGTCCTTCTCCCTCCTCCTCCTCCTCCTTCCTCCTCCTCCTCCTCCTCCTCCTCCTCCTCCTCCTCCTCCTCCCCCTCCTCCTCCTCCTCCTCCTCCTCCTCCTCCTCCTCCTCCTCCTCCTCCTCCTCTACCTTCTCCCCCTCCCCCCCTCCCCCAGTCCATCCTCTCTCCGTCTCCCTCCTCCTCCCTTCCTTCTACTGCCTGGCCGCCTTCTCCTCCTCCGCGCCTCGTCTCCTTCCTCGTGCCGGGCGCCTCCTCTTCGTGTTCGTCTCCTTCGCGTCTCGTTTCCGTCGTCGTCGTCGTCGTCGTCGTCGTTGTCGTCGTCGTCGTCGTAATGGTCGGCGTCGTCGTCGTGGTCGTGGTGCTCTGCTCGGGACTATTTTCCCTTCGGGATAGACCGTCACTTCTGCTACTCCACGACCGTCGCCAGGCTTTGAAGCACCCCCTTGCATGGCTGTCGGACAGATGTCACTGACCGCAGATCGATCGAATCGCAGACGAACCGATACACACAAACCCCACCTGAAAGGGAGATGCTTTACCCCAGGGAACGCGTCATTGAAATGGTCGGCGCCGCCCTCAGACAACGGCACGCACCATCAAACCGATCGGTTCGTTGACAACCCTGCTTAGAGCCCACCCCCTGGATCACGGCACCGGAGGGCGTCCAAGAGAGGGATCAGCAAGTCGTGGCCCGAAATATGTGCGCAGACAAGGGGGAGACCCGGGGAAGTGTTGAAATAAGACGGGGGGACCCACTAGAACACGGGCGGCATCATGGCCAAAGCCACGACGTCCCCTCCCCCTCGTCATCACCCGACCTTTCTGCAGCACGCGCCGTTCGAGACGGATATCGCTTCCCGGTGCAGCCTGTCATGCCCTGACGCGCACAACACCCAGACGATCGACAAGACCATGGGACGCCCAAATTTGCCAGGTTTCTCCGTGGCCTGCCAGAGTTCGGATCGGCGAGTCGGGGAGACTCTTTCCGGCAACTCTGCACGTATGGGGGAAACGTCGTCTTCGAAAGGTGTCCCTGGCATTCGCGCGGCGCGCGTCAGTACGGCAGGTCCCCAACAACACCGTGCATGGAGGGCGTTTTGCGTTCAAAAAGTGGCTCTCGCTTGAACCCCACGCCCACCTCGGTGTCAAAGCTCCCGGCCAATGCAGGGATGGACGGCGAACGGTTGATAAGTCTGGTCATTACTTCAAAGCCGCGAGCGTTTGCCATGAAACTCTCCGACACTTGCACGGATGGAGGGCGGGTGGTGCAGAAGGGGCATCGGTCTCAACTGTGGTTCTTGCCTGAGACTCGGGGGGCTGATGGGCAGACGTGAAAGCTGTGCAACAGTTGCATCGGTCGAAGGAGGCCCCTGTTCCAAACAGTGCTCTCACAGGACACTGGCTTGAACTACATGATCGCTCAGATTGGCAACCTGCCTAACTCTAGAGAGGCTGGCCACTTCCATTTCAAGGGCTCCCACCCGAAGGTAAGTCTCATAGGGCGCTCGTCTTGCAATGGGACCTACACCAAACTGAAAATGAGAGGGGACCCAGAAGGAGAGGGTGTACTGCCTCACCGTCGAAGCTCCTCCTCCTCCTCTTCCTCCTCCTCCTCTTCCTCCTCCTCCTCCTCCTCTCTCCTCTCCTCTCTCCTCTTTTCTCTCTCCTGCTCCTCTCCTCTCTCCTCTCTCCTCTCTCCTCTCTCCTCTCTCCTCTCTCTTCTCTCCTCTCTCCTCTCTCCTCTCTCCTCTCTCCTCTCTCCTCCTCCTCCTCCTCCTCCTCCTCCTCCTCCTCCTCCTCCTCCTCCTCATCTTCCTCTTACCCCACTCTTCCCACCCCCTGTCGTCCCCATCGTCGCCGTCGCCTTCCTTCTCCTCCTGAGCTTGAACCCTCCTTCCATTCCTCCCTTCCTGACTCCCTCATCCCTCTCCATATTCCTCTCCTCCTCCTCCTCCTCCTCCTCCTCCTCTCCCCCCTCCTCCTCCTCCTCCTCTCCTCCTCCCTCCTGTTCTTTTTTTATTATTCCTCCTCCTCCTTCCTCCTCCTCCTCCTCCTCCTCCCTCCTCCTCCTCCTCCTCCTCCTCCTCCTCCTCCTCCTCCTCCTCCTCCTCCTCCTCCTCCTCCTCCTCCTCCTCCCCCACCCCTCCTCCTCGGCGTCTTCTCCTCAGCCCCCAATGCCCCTTCACGCCGCCGCCGTCGCCCCTCCTCTCCCATCCCTCGCCACCGCCATCGTCGTTTTCGTCGTCGCTCACCTCCTCCGCCACCCCCTCCTTCTCGCCCCTCCGCAGCCTCGTCGTCTGCGCTCTTGTCCCCCTGTGGTCGTCATCGTCGTCGTCGTGCTCGCCTCCGTCGCCTTCGAAGTCATTCCCGTTCTCGTGGCCTTCGTCATCGTCGCCCCCCTCCTCACCACTGTGGCCTTCTTCGTCGTCGTCGTCGTCGTCGTCGTCGTCGTCGCAGTCGTCCTCCTTCCCTTTGTCACTGTCGCCGTCGTCGACGCCGTCGCAGTCGTCAACGCAGCGTCGATGCAGATGCATCCCCCCTCGAGCCTATCCTGACTGGTCTCGGTGCTCGGGCCGTCACTTGGGTCTCCGGCGGCGGTTCGGAACGAGGCGTGCACCCCCCAGAACGCCCTCGGCAAAACGCAGCTGCTGGAGAGGATCCCGAGGCTGGAAAGCCGAAAATCTCGAACCAAGTTTTTTTTGTTGCAATCCGCCGTAGACCCCGACGTTGTGTTTTTTCACAGCGTCGACCACCACAGGTCTGGATCCCTTCTCCGTGACCGGCTTTTCTCGTCCCGCGTCGTTTTGTTGACGGCCCCGGGGCCCGTGGAGGGCCCCCGGAGGCCGAAAATAGTGAAAACCCGTCCGTCGCGATTTTTGTCAAAATTCGGCGGCGAGCGAGGGGGGGGAAGCGAGAAGGAGACGCCTTTCTCAGAAGGCGGCGGGACTTCCACGAGGCCCTCGCGCCTTCTGACAGGTTTTTCTTGTGTCTTCGGGGAAGGCTCGGAGAACTTCTCAGAAGGGCCCGGGGACTTCCGAGCATTCTGAGAAGGCCCGCCCCTTCTCACTTCCCCCCCTCTGCCCGCCGCCGGCCAACGCGAGGGAGTCTGGCGCCGTCGCCTTCGCCCTGAGCCGCGGGCTTGCGCCAGTGGTTCTCGCCGTAGCCCGCGGCGCCGACGAGGCTGTCAAGGGTCAGCTGCGCGGGCAGCTCCTCGCCCTCCTTCGGGGGGGTGGAGGGGAGGCGAGGCAACACAGCCTCGAAGCAACCCAGCCTCCCTCTCTCCCTCCAACCTCCCTCCCTCCTGCCTCCACTGAGCGAGATAGCGAGGCTTTCCTCCTACCTCCCTCCCTTCCTCCGCCTCCGCCTCCGCCTCCGCCTCCGCCTCCGCCTCCGCCTCCGTCTCCTCCTCCTCCTCCTCCTCCTCCTCCTCCTCCTCCTCCTCCTCCTCATACGCCTCCTTCCCTCCCTTCCTCACACCGGGTGCTCCAACCGCATCCGCAGGCCCGCCACTTCCCTCCCACCCCCCCCTCGTGGAGCCAGGCCTGGTGGTTGGGTGGTGGATCCTCGTGAGGTCCAGTGCGCCGCCCAGGCCTGGCATTTGGTTCACATCCAGGATCACTGTGATCGCCCACACTGTACCAGATATCTTCCTCACATCGGTTCAGTGCCGTTGAACGCGGCGTCTTCGACCGAACACAGCGTCTGCGCTCGTACTATCGCCCCCACGATCAGTACTATTATTACCACCACCACCACCAGCTGGCACCCTGCTGCATACGGCCCTCCTTCCCCTCAAGTCTCCTGTCCCTCCTGCCTCCTGCCCCGTCCTCCTCCTCCTCCTCCTTCTCCTCCTTCTCGTCTCTGCTGCCTCCTCCGCCTCCCCCTCCCGTCCCCCCGCCCTACTCCCCCTCCCCCCCATTCCCTTGTCGCGATTTCGCACCGCTGGTCCAGCTCTTCTGTTCACGCCGCCCGCGCTGTTGCGGACCCGGCGGCGAGCGGATCGGCGGCGCGGTCTCACAGTCTGCCGCGGCCTTGGGGAACAGTGCCTCGCTGCCTGCGTGACGCGGGATGTGGCACCACACCGTGACGCGCGCTGCTCGGGCGGGGGGGCCGTGCGAGCTCCGCGCTTCACTGTCGCGGTGCGTCTGACGCTGCCCGACTACCGCCGGCTGCGATGTCGCAGGCGCGCTGCCTTGAGCGAATCACTGACGTGCTGTGCTGCCTTGCAAACCCCCGGGAGGCCTGGGCGAGGCGGGCGGAACGCCTCGGGGGAGACCTGAGCGGGGAGGCCGGAGTTTGGCGCGAGAGCTTGGCGCGGGTCCTGGGGTGCCCTGTTCCTTGCTCGGGGGAGCTCGGCGCGAGCTTGCTGAGTCCTCGCGCGACCTCTTTCAGACTGCCTTTGCTTCGCTGTTGCCTGCCGACGTCTGTTCGTGACCCTCTTGTTGCCATTCGCTTCCGGTCTGAGGCCTCGGCTAGCAGGCTCAAGGCCCAGGCTGGAACGCTGCCGATGAGAGGCCTTGGCCGTGCGCACGTTGCCGAACATCCAAGTGCGGCCTCTCTCTCTTTCGGGGTCGAGTCGCCGAACGGCCTGGGCCTAAAATCCTGGGGCCTCGGGTCGCTGGGATCACGTCCTGACTGGAGAATCTGGGTCTCAACGTCTAGCCGGTGGCCCGACGTCGAGGCGACGATGGCCTGAACACGCTGTTCCGCGCCACCAGCGCGCGCCCTTCGTCGACGAGCCGGCTCGGGCGACCTGCGCGGCGCCAGCAGCTGGCGCTCGAACCAAACCGGGCACCCTCTGGGGAGCTGCGAGCTGCGCCGGGCCACCCTCGACGCGAGCTCGGCCTCGCTGCGCCCTGCGCAGCG